AGGAGGGGAGATGCATGTCGAAAGTAGACTATGGACTGAACATGTTTGCCACTCAATGCCTCTTTTGCAGACCACAACACCCAAAAGGAGAGAGAGAACACAGGGGATTGCCCTGCCACAGAGACAGGGGGGATGGGGGGATGGGGGTGGGAGGGATATTATCCATGGTGGTGGAAAATGGGCACTGGTGGAGGGATGGGTATCTGATCATTGTATAATTGAAACCAAAGCACAAAAAATTGTAAATCTACAACTTTAAAAAAAATAAAATAAAATAAAGGGGGAAAAAAAAAAAAAAAAAAAAAAAAAAAAAAAAAAAAGAAGCAATAATTGAATAAAAGAAACTATAATTGTTTACTAAATAAAACTCAAAAAATTTTAAAATTTAATTACTAAAACATTTTATCTTTTAAATTATATTGTCAAATAAAAAATTCCAAATTTAAAAAAAAAAAAAAAAAAAAAAAAAAAAAAAATGGCTCCATCCAGCCAGCCACACATGCTAGGGGAAAAGGGAGCTCAGATAGAGAAGGGAGCACCAAGTAAAGGGTGTTGGGAGGATCCTCCCAGGATGGGAGAAGCATGCTGAAAGTAGACTCTAGACCAAGCATGATTGCCACCCATTGCCTCTTTTGCAAACCACAACACCTACTAAGAGAGAGAGAACAAAAGGGAATGCCCTGCCACAGAGGCAGGGTGTGATGGGAGGGTGGGGGTGGGGGTGGGAGGGATACTGGGATCCGTGGTGGTGGGAAATGGGCTCTGGTGGAGGGATGGGTATTTGATCATTGTATAATTGAAACCCAAGCACAAAAATTTGTATGTCTACAATTGTACCTCATAATGTCTCACTAATTAAAAAAAAATGGCTCCATCCATGATCAGTTTCAGATCTTAGGTGAGTCACTTAACCTTCTTTCACAGAGCCTCAGCTGTAAAGTGGGATGAAGTTACTGCTCTTTTTTTCTTAGTGAAACAAAATCATTTTTACTGGAAGAAACATAGAGAGATATGAGAGAAGAGAACAAGAGACAAGTGTTTGAGACAAAACATGGGCTTCCCAGAGGGAGAAAGGCTTTCATGGTTCTGATTTATCTGTTAGTATTTATCAAAGGCCTGGAACAGGCTTTTAATTCAGATGCATGATTTCTTCTTCGTTGTAAGACACAGGTGAGTTGCAGTGTAAAGAAAGAGGTTTGGGGAATCTAGGGAGGGATCATGCCCACGCACCTGCCTTGCCAGCTTGAGGTTTGTGAGTTCGATTCCTCTGATGCTGCTCAGATGTGCCAACGGTGTGCTGACAACTTGGCTCTTGAGAAACTCCAGCTCCACAACCAACGATACAATCTCTGGCACGCCCCAGAGATTGGGTGTGACTGGCTGTGTGTGAGCAGTACGACTGGGGTGTGAGACCCCCCCAGTGAACATGGCAACTAGAAAAAGTGTTCAAACATGAGGTCTAGTGGATAATCTCTGTGCAGCCTGTGTATAGGCACTGAAGCTACAGTGTTTGACTGTCCTGGAACCCCCAGCTGAGTGTGTGAGCACCACAGCCAGGTCTATATGTGACCTCCATTATTGCACCAAAAGCAAAAATGTGAGGGGGAAGGGAGGGGAACTTAGGAAAAGGAAGAGGCTGATTTTGGGGTGGGGATAAGTAAGAGGAAGATTTGGGGGAAACCGGACATTTGGGGTTCATTGAAATCACATCTGTAACAAGTCAGGGGAAGAACTTTACAGAGGTAGAAGCCAATATTCAATAAAGCAAAGATGCAGAGAATGAGGAATGTGAAGTGAAGTTTAGGGGTGTGGAACGGAGGCCTTGGGGATACACCTTAGACAGAGAGAGGAGGGGAGGAGCCCAAGCTAAGGGGAACTGTGAGATCACAAGAACATGGAAGCGAGATACTCGGCAATTTTTGAAGTTCGTAGATCTTTGAGTGAAAATTTTAAAATAGGCATTCAACTAAATCAGTGGGAATTACATATGTAATTCCATTGATCCATATGCTCATGTGTCTAATTTTATTTATTTACTTATTTTTGCTTTTTGGGTCACACCCGGCGATGCACAGGAGTTACTCCTGGTTCATGCACTCAGGAGTTACTCCTGGCGGTGCTCAGGGGACCATATGGGATGCTGGGAATCGAACCCGGGTCGGCCGCGTGCAAGGCAAACGCCCTACCCGCTGTGCTATTGCTCCAGCCCCTCATGTGTCTAATTTTAGATAAAATTTCAAAAATAGGCATTCAACTAAATCGGTGGGAATTACATATGGATGTATTCCATTGATCCATAGGCTCATGTGTCTAATTTTTTATTCTAACACCGTCCAGTTTTACCGTTGATTTGTAGTATAGTTTGAAGACAGGTAACACAATCCCTCTATTTTTATTTCTTTTATTTTTTTTTTAAGGGCTGGAGAGATAGCACAGCGGATAGGGCGTTCGCCTTACAAGCGGCCAACATGGCCGACCCGAGTTCGATTCCTCCGCCCCTCTCGGAGAGCCCGGCAAGCTACCGAGAGTATTCGATATGCCAGACACAGTAACAACAAAGTCTCCAATGGAGACGTTACTGGGCCCCGCTCGAGCAAATCGACGATCAACGGGAGGGCCTTTACCTTTACCTTTACCTATTTTTTTTTTATTGCTCCCAGTCATGCTCACAGTCTAGGCTGACCTCCTCCAGAGAGCATGCAGTGATAACTCCTGGAGCTAGCTCTCCGGGCCCTGTTTCTGAACCCCCTCTTTCTTTTCAGGGGAGGGCCACACTTGGCAATGCTCAGGGGTCCTCTTGGCTCTGCACTCAGGAGTTAGTCCTGGAGGTGCTCAGGAGACCATATGGGATGCTGGGGATTGAATCCGGTCAGCTGCGTGCAAGGCAAACGCCTTATCTGTTATACTATCACTCCGCCCCACTGGGCCCTATTTTTGTTTTCTTTCTCAGGTTGCCATAGCTATTTGAGGTCTATAATGATTCGACCAACCCTTGGTGTTTTTTTTTTTTTTGCTCTATTTCCTTTTCAAAAAGGTCATTTGAATTTTGATTTACATTGCGTTACATCTCTTGCCTTTGGTAGACACTGTGACGATATTAACTCTCTCCATCTGCGTACACGAATGTCTTTCCATTTCAACATCATCTTTTATGTCTTTTAACAGCATCTTATAGTTGCATTAGACAGGTTTTCACCTCATTTATTAAATTTATAACTAGGTATTTGATTCTTGGAGATTCAATTGTAAGTGGGGGGTGTTTTCTTCATTTCTTTATTATTCACACATAGAACGAAATAGATTTTTGTGTATTGATATTGTCACGAGCTACTTTGCTGTACTCCTTGTGCCTAATAAAAGTCTTTAGTGGTTTTTAAAAGTGTTTTTTAAAAGACTTTTTAAAAGTCTTTAGTGTTTTCCATAAATATATTATCATATCCTTTGCAAATAATGAGTTGCACACTTTTTCTTTTCTATCTGGATTCCTTTTTATTTTTTCTTGTGAATGAATCGTTCTAGCTAAGATTTCTGATACTAAATTTAATAGAAATGATGGTGCACAGCCTGTTTCTGATTTTAGAGGAAAGGCTTTGAGCCTTTTACCTTTTCGTGTGTGGTCAGTGGCTAGCGTACTGGAAAGTAGTGCCACTTTAAAGGAGAGAGAGAGAGAGAGAGAGAGAGAGAGAGAGAGAGAGAGAGAGAGAGAGAGAGAGAGAGAGAGAAGAGTTTCAGGGGAGAAAACTTCTCCAGAGTGAAAAAGTAGACATGTAGACATGTAGGCCACTTCCCCCAAATGGGGAAATGTGCCCAGTTACTTCATCATTTTTTTTTTAGGAGGCTGGTGGCCACATCCGGTGGTGCTCAGCGCTCACTCCTGGAGTTAAGAGGGAAGCAAATGAATGGCCTGGATCTAACTTGGGTCAGCAGCACAAAAGGCAGAGAGCCTCAAGTGCTGTTCCATAGATTTTTTCCCCCTTTTCATTATTTATTATTTATTGATTTATTGAATCACTGTGGGAAAAGTCACAAAGCTTTCAGTTTAAGTCTCAGTTACGCAAATATCAAACACATTTCCCTTTATCAATACTTATTTTTCACCACACAGAACCCCAATAAACGCCCCGCCCCCCAACCCTCCCAATGCCTGTGAGGCAGATGAATTCTAGTTAACTATCTACTTTAGATTTGTTTTTTTTTAAAGTTCGAGCTAACAAGCTTAGGCATTACATGAAGTGTTCTGGCTTAGCAAACCATCTGAAGAGCAGCGGGTTCCCAAAAGAGACTTTTCTGTGTCGTGAGCGCGGGACTGGTTCCGAGTCCACCTTTGGCATGGGGCTGCCCAGAACACGACTCCGCCTGCAACTGAAATCATGACCTGCTGCCTTTTCTCTATTTGCAGGAAAGTTGCGTCCCTGTATCTATCTTCCTTCCAGAGATGCACACTGACTCCCAGTCTGGGGATGGGTGGTGGTGGTGGTGCTGGTGGTGGTGGATGATTCTTTTTTTTGGATCACTCAGTCTGGATCACTCCGATGGATCAGGACATCCCCAGGAAGGGCGCCTCTTGCCCACACTGACCGACCGGTGGACCGAAGTTTCTCTGCGCTCTTGGAGTTTCTGCATTTCCAGCCTGCCAGGGTTGCTGCCAGCCCCGAGCGAAGAAGGTCCGGGCTTGCAGAACTCCGGGTTCCCGGCCCGGTCGCCGCGCGCGCTGCGGGCGGAAGGCGCGCGGGTGCCCACACCCCCGTTGCCCGCGGCCCTGGCGGGTGCCCACACCCCCGGCGCCCGCGGGCCCTGGCAGCGCCGCCGCCGCCGCCGCCGCATCCTCGGGCAGCTGCAGTTTCCGGGCCGGCCGGCTGCGCGGTGGCCGGGTCAGCGCCCGCGTCGGGGCCCGGGGACGGCGCGCGCCCAGGCCCGGCTGGCCCGCGGCATCCGCTGGGCAGTTCCGCGGGGCGCGCACCCCCGCCCGGGCCCGCCCCCCGGGGTGCCGCCGCGCCGAAGGGGGAAACGCGGAAGTTTCCAGCGCCCGCGGACACGCATGAGGCCGGAGCCCGGCGGGGCGCGCGCTGCAGCGGCCCCGGGAGCCGGCGGGCGGCGGCCGGGCCATGGCCACGCTGCCCAGCGCCGAGCGCCGCGCCTTCGCGCTCAAGATCCACAGGTGGGACGCGGGGGGTCCCGGGGCCGGGGGGCCGGGGGGCTGGGGGGCTGGGGGGGGGGTCCCCGGCCCGCGCGCGCGCGCGGCTCCCCGGCTGCCCCCCGAGCGCTCCCGATCTCGGCCCCGCGCGCGATGCGGACAGGTGGCCCCCGCATCATCTGGGGGCCGCGGAGCGCGCGGGGTGCGTGTGTGTGTGTGTGTGTGTGTGTGTGTGTGTGTGTGTGTGTGTGTGTGTGTGTGTGTTGAAATCAACGGAGCTTGCCTTGGCGCGGCTGTTCGAGCAAGGGAGAAGAGGTCGCCGGAGCAACAGGTTTGGCGTGCGCGCCTCTGCTTCGACCCTTGGGGTGTCCTGCCTGGGACTCGGCTCTAGGTTTTTGGTGAATTTTTCGGAAGAAGGTTGGCTCCCGGTGACATCCCTAACTCCCTCCTTTCCCTTCCTTCCCTTCTCCTTCTCCTTCTCCTTCCTTCCTTCCTTCCTTCCTTCCTTCCTTCCTTCCTTCCTTCCTTCCTTCCTTCTCTTAATTCCTTCCTTCCTTTCCTCTCTTGCTTCCTTCCTTCTCTCGCTTCCTTCCTTCCTTCCCTCTCTCCTTCCCTCTCTCCTTCCTTTCTTCCTTCCTTCCTTCCTTCCTTCTCTCTCTTGATTCCTTCCTTCCTTTCCTCTCTTGCTTCCTTCCTTCTCTCGCTTCCTTCCTTCCTTCCCTCTCTCCTTCCCTCTCTCCTTCCTTCCTTCCTTCCTTCCTTCCTTCCTTCCTTCCTTCCTTCTCTCTCTTGATTCCTTCCTTCCTTTCCTCTCTTGCTTCCTTCTCTCACTTCCTTCCTTCCCTCTCTCCTTCCCTCTCTCCTTTCTTCCTTCCTTCCTTCCTTCCTTCCTTCCTTCCTTCCTTCCTTCCTTCCTTCCTTCCTCTCTCTTGATTCCTTCCTTCCTTTCCTCTCTTGCTTCCTTCCTTCTCTCGCTTCCTTCCTTCCTTCCCTCTCTCCTTCCTTCCTTCCTTCCTTCCTTCCTTCCTTCCTTCCTTCCTTCCTTCCACCACTCTCCATGGTGCTCAGGGCTTGCTCCTGGCTCTGTGCTAGGGACTTACTCTTGGCTCAGGGAAATCCCTCCCGGTGGTGGGACTCGAACCCAGAGTGGCAGCATCCAAGGCGAGTGCCCCTGCGTGCCACACTAACTCCCTGGCCCGGCATCGCTATTTTTATTCATTCCCTGGTCCAGGGCAGCAGCTATGCAGTGGAAAAAGTCATTTTTATACCTCTCCGTTTAAGTAAACAAATAACTGGGCTGTGGCGAGCAGTTGTACATTTATAGAGCTCCAGCCGAGAGCGAGCTCGGGAGGCCGGTCCAACTCCCGGCACAGCGCATAATCACAACTGCACACGCCCTTAGACGCCTTGCCGCTGCACGCTCAAAGTTCTCAGCAAAGGCGCTCTGGCTGCAGTTTCCCTTCACTGAAAACTGCTGACAAGTATTTGGGAATCCTTTTGTCTTACCCTGAGAAATCTAGACACTTTTCAAAAGATACTAAGAAAGTGGACTTACAAAAATTATTAAACTAAAAAAAAATTTTTTTTTAAAAATTCTGCTGCCCTCTCTCCTGTAGGATTTGCTAGTTTTGGGTTGAACTGACCCCAGGAGGGGCCAGTTCCACTGTTTGTACATTTTTGTGCTGATGACATGTGAGGGGCTCGGACCTGGAATTAGAAGCCCTGAATGAAGAGGTGGAAGGACTTTCTTTCCAAGGGGCAGACTGAGTGCTACTGTGGTTTTGTTACTACCTCTTGTGTGATCCTGGTTTGACCCCTAGCACAGCATGTGGCCCCCTGAGCCCTGCCAAGGGTCTCTTAAGAACCCAGAGCTAGGAACAGCACCTGACTGCCATTGGACGTGGCCTTCCCCATCCCACAGTTCCCCCGATGCCAATGTCAAATCAAAGTACCTACATCTCATGACCTCTTCTGTTGGGTGAATAAAGCAAAATTAAATGTAGAACTGTGATTGTAGTACCTGGCTTGGCATAAATGTTAAGTGAATGCTTAACTGTTGTCATTAGTATTAATTGTCATCATTGTCACTGTCAACTCCATTACCACGTGCTAAGAAAATTTGGAAGGAAAACAGATGTCGAAAGAACTGCTTAGAAGGGTGGGAGGAAGGGCCAGAGAGACAGTACAGTGAGTGGGTGAGGCACTTGCCTTGCACGAGGCCGACCCGGATTTGATTCCTGGCATCCTATAGGATTCTCTGAGCACTGCCAAGAATGATTCCTGAGTGATTCCTGGCTTGCCAGGAGTAACCCCTGAGCATGTCCAGGTGTGGCCTTAAAACAAACAAACAAACAAACAAAAAAGAAGAAAGGTGGGAAGGAAAGATAATGTTGGAAGAATTCCCATGAGGAGACCAAGTCAGGCTGGGCATGGAGATGTTTGTGACCAGCAGAGCTTTCTTGGGGAGGATGCCCTCGCCTATATGCCTTCATCCCATGCTGAGACCACCAAACATGTGTGTCATAGATTATCTGTTGGAATCTTGCAGAGAAGAGCGCCACTCAAGTCGAATGAAATAGAAGATTCCATAATCTTCAGGAATGAATTGAGTGGTCTGATTTGTGGATCTGTTCTTCCTTTCTGAGCTCTTTTTGTACCTTGGTTTGAAAAGTTATGTTCAAGGGCTTTCTTTGACTGCTACGAAGAAACAGTACTCCAAGGAGTGAATTCATATTATCATGCCCAGTCTTGATACTCATCATTTATTGATTACTTACTATATTCCTGGGATCAGAGAGATAATATGGCACATAAGGCACTTGCCTTGTATGTGGCCAACCCAGGTATGAACCCAGGCATTCCATAATGTTCCTCAAGACAGACAGAGTCAGAACTAACCCCTGAGCACTGCTGAGTGTAGCCCTTACATCAAAAAAGAACCAAAACTCACAACCACTGTGTTCCAGAAATTTTAAAGTTCATACATGATATCATTGAATTCTTACGAAACTCCACCACAACTGGTCTGAAGGCTCATATAGAAGAAGGAAAATGAATCTTGGAGATGTATTTGCACAAGACCATGTGATTGCGTCAAGTCCACACAAACGGTCCTGGCAGAGCTGGGGTCACAGATGACTCTAAAGAGTATTCGTCGTTGGTTATGCTCTTAGGAACCACGTTTCTTAAGAATTTCCTTTCAGAGCACACAGAGAATTAATTTTGTCTGGGTAGTCAAGTGGTAGCATTGGCAAATTATTCTGAGCAGTGTTTAAAAAGTAAACAAAGTAGCGATGTCCTATTTTGTGATCTTAAAATTGGAAGAGAAAATGTTTTCCTTTGCATGCCTACCAATTTTTAAAAATAGATCGACTTACAAAAGTAAGACAACGTTGAAATAAAGAAGTATATTTTGCGAGCATTCATATTTTCTACTCAGAAAGATGCAGGTTTTTCCCTTAAAACTATTTGCAGGTTAAGATCAGTAGGTTTCCAGTGCTCTAAATTGAGGCCAGCCCCCAGCAGAACTATGGGGTGCCCAGGACATCTCCAAGAGATCCTGTCCTTATAGTTTGGTGCTCAGGCCGACAAGCAGTTCCAACTGGCAATACACAGGACTACCTGTACCACAACCAGCAGTAGTTGTGGTGCCATGCGGAGCTTAAAGGCTCAGCATGTACTGTACCTCTCTGGCCCCAGTGTACTTCTGTTAGGACATTCCCAAATATAATACAGTACAATTATTCTTAAAGAACTGAGTTCTTCTCATACTGCACTCTAAATAGAGTGAGGGCAATTATAGAGCAATTTTGGCACTACATTGGTAGATGTGAGTGGTAACCATTTTACCCCTAAATCCTATCAGTATTAACTGCACTGCACTGCCGTCCCGTTGTTCATCAATTTGCTCGAGCGGGCACCAGTAACGTCTCCATTGTGAGACTTGTTGTTGCTGTTTTTGCCTTATCTAATATGCCAGGGGGAGCTTGCCAGGCTCTGCTGTGCGGGTGGGGTACTCTCGGTAGCTTGCCGGACTCTCCGAGAGGGGCAGAGGAATCATACCTGGGTAGGCTGCATGCAAGGCAAGCTCCCTATCCACTGTACTATCGTGGTGGCCCAATATTAACGTTCTTGAAAGTGGATATTATTGCAACAGAATGTCACTGTCACTGTCCTCCCATTGTTCGTCGATTTGCTGGAATGGGCCCAGTAACATCTCCATCATGAGACTTGTTACTGTGTTTGGCATATCGAATACGTCACGGGGAGCTTGCTTGGCAGGCTTTGCCGTGCGGGCGAGATACTCCTGGTAGCTAGCCGGGCAATAGAATAATGAAATGAAATTACAGGAGCTAAGGAAATATTAAAGAGTGAGGAGACTACTTTCCCATAAAAAAGTATTCCATTCTGTCCCTCAGTTTATAGTTTCTTGCATGTAGCAGCACTGCCCAGTTAAGGGACTGACCCAAGGGGAAGAAGAACCACGGGATTCCCCACAAGTTCCTCTTTCTCCTGGATTTCCCTGGTTCTCTAATGGTGTCAGGAGGCCTAGATTTCCATGTAGTAGAAATAACTATATAGGACTGTTTGTTTTGTTTTGAGCACCAAGTATAATTCTGTAACTGGGGGTTAAGTGTTTCTTTAATACCTGTAGCCCAAGGACATGTAAAGAGAAAAATATCCAGAACTAATTTATTTGTCTTAACTAGAAGATTAACATTTAACTTGAAGGATGAGGGAGTTGAGGTCACATCCTGCAGTGCTCATGGCTTACTCCTGGTTCTGTGCTCAGGGATCACTCCTGACGGTGATTGGGGGACCATATGTAGTGCCAGGGATTTCAACTGGTGTCAGCCACATCTGAGTAAGCACCTTACCTGCTGTACTGTCTCTTCAGTTCCCATGTCATATATATTTTTATTTTCTTCATTTTTTAAAATCGAATCACTGTGAATTGCAGAGTTACAATGAGACTCATGATTGACTTTCAGGCATGCACTGTTCCAACACCAATTCTTTCACTA